AGGCGAACTCACCACCTCTGTCAGAGTGCAGGCGTAGGACTGGAAAGTCCGAGCGAAAGCGCTTGCCTAGCTGGAGACGGGCTCGGCTGATCCAGGGGATCAAGACATCAGGGACGTCACCCTTGCTGCGCAAGGGGAAGACCGTGGTGTAGCGCGAGTAGTCGTCAACAACTATCAGGAAGTACCGCTCCTGACCCTGACCACGGACGCGGGCTGGGCCCCACACGTCCATGTGTAGCGTCTGCAAAGGAGCAGTCGTCGGGGGGAAGGAGGAGGAGTGGGGAGCGGCGCGCTGCCGCCCCTCAACACAGGGAATGCAGTCGGGAGCAGGTGAGGGGGGGAGGGGAGGGAGAACCCGAGGGAGACCAGAGACAAGCTGCCGCTTGTGCATGGCACGAAGGCGCTGCACAGACGGGTGGCCAAGTCGGTGGTGCCAGAGGACAGTGTCGTGCGCCAGAGAGCGACACGAGCAGGGGGCGGACAGCTGACCTGACGCCGACGCAGACGCGGACGCAGCTACCTGAGGGGACTCAGTGGTCAGTGTGTACAGGTCCGACCCCGGCTCCCGAGTAAAGGTAGCCAGGTGGCGACCCGTCCGGGCACACGTGCAGTGGGTCACTCGCTCGTAGGCAGGGGTGGTCTGGTGAACACCCCCATCCTGTAGCTCACATCCTGCCACCAAGTTCGTAGAGAACGAGGGGAGGTAGAGACCCGACAGCGTGCCGGACGGGACTGCAGGACAAGGGAGGACAGTGGAGTGAGTCGCAACGACTGGACCCCCAGTGGGGTCAGCTAGCGAGACTGCAACCGGCCGAGCAAGAGGCTCAAGGACAGTGCGGTCACGAAAGAAGGAGCGGGAAGCACCTGAGTCAAGAGTGAAGGTGTGGAGTGCGGCGGTCGGCTCAGTACCAGGGGCGACTGGGGCTATAGCACCTAGGGCAGTAGCCTCACCAGGACCTGGGGCAGCAGACACACTAGTACCTAGGGCAGCAGCCTCACCAGGACCTGGGGCAGCAGACACACTAGTACCTAGGGCAGCAGCCTCACTAGCACCTAGAGCAGCAGCCTCACCAGAACCTGGGACAGCAGTCTCACAAGTACTGAGAGCGGGAGCCTGACAAGTCACAATGCCCGGGTCGGGCGGAACACGCAGGTACTGAGCACTCTCTCCACTAATAGACATCGCATACATGGCAGTGAGAATAGCGTCAAAGTCTAAAGCCCAAATATCAACACCCTTCCTTTCCAGCTCAGGCCAGTGGGGCAGCTCAGCACCCCCAGGAAACTGGGCGCGCCACGCGTCAGTAAGGCGCTGGTAGCAGCGCTGCGTGGGGTGCGGCCTCCCACACGGCAGGCCCTTGCGGTCACCAGTGCGGTGGACGTACGTGCAAGTGGAACCACGCTGTGCGTACCACTCACGGGCGGCCTGGAGGGTCGGGGCGTGCTGCTGACCCTGGCCACCACCAGCGTCTCCACGACCACCACCGCCACCGCCACCGCCTCGGCCACCTCCACCCCTGCCGCGACCACGACCACCACCGCCGCCGCTACTACCGCCGCTGCCGCCACTACTCCCGCCGCCGCTGTCACCACCCCCACTGCCACCACCAGTGTCTCCAGACCCACCGCCACCCCCACTGCCGCCACCCCCACCGCCACCCTTGCCCCCCCTGCTCTTGCGACGCCCGCTCGAGGCAGACGCAGCCCCGACCTTCTCAGCACCAAGGAGGTCGACAGCAGCAGCAGTGGCGACAGAGGGGAGAAGGGGGGAAGGGGAACACCCCTCAAAGAAGGGGTGGCGGGGCTCGCCACGAGAGGCACCTACGGCGACGATGCTCGCCTCAGCTGCAAGTAGATCCTTCTCAAGGATGGCGATGGTGAGCTCAGTAGGGGAGCGAGCAAGAAGAGAGTCCCTGACTGCGCGCAGTGAGTCAGGGAGGCGGGTGACAATGTGGTAGAGCGTGAGCCAGAGCGGTGGGGGGTTGCTGGCGAGGAACTCGGCAGGCATAGCAGCGCGAAAGCGGGCCTCACTGGTCTTAAGGTGAGTAATGAGATCGGCAACGGTCTGAAAAGAGGCCAGGTCAGGGAAGAGGTAGGGTAGGGTGAGGCGGCCTAGGGTGGCAGACGCAGGCGAGGAGTAGCGGGCAACGACGGCTGTGTACAGGTCCTGAGCAGTCTTGCACTGGCCGAAGTGCTCGCGCTCATCTAGCGGTAGCGAGTTGCGGATAGCAAAGCGAGCATGCGCGTCGCGGGTCTTCCACTGGGAGCGTAGCGTGCTGGCAGCAGAGGAGTCAGGGGCAGTAGCATGGCCGAGGGCATGATCATACAGGGAGATGTCTTCCTTGGCAGTGAGCTGTAGGAAGAGGTGGAGATCCTCAAGCCAGGTGTCAAATTTCACTGGGCGACCCTCAGCATCGAAGGCTAGGACAGGAGCGCTAGCCATGATAGCAGGAGGAGGAACAGTAAAAAATGGAAGGATAACAGGAACAGCAGCAGTTGGGACAGCTGCGGCAGTTGCTGCAGTTGAGTCGGCGACGGCAGCTGCTGCAGGAGGTGCGGCTGTTGCCGCTGCTGGAGATGTGGAGGCGGTCGTTGCTGGGTTGGCGGCGGCCACTGCTGCAGAGGCAGCGGCGGCTGATGCTGATGTAGCTACGGCGGCCGCTGCAGGAGATAGCGGCGGCTGCTGCTGCAGAAGATGTGGCAGCTGCTGCTGCAGTAGATGCTGCGGCGGCTGCTGGTGAAGATGCGGCAGTTTCCGCTGTAGGATGTGGCGGCGGCTGCTGCTACAGTAGATGCGGCAGTTGTCGCTGCAGGAGGTGGCGGCGGCTGCTGCTGCAGAAGGTGCGGCAGCTGCTGCTGCAGGAGATGCTGCGGCGGCTGCTGCTGAAGATGCGGCAGCTGCTGCTGCAGTAGATGCTGCGGCGGCTGCTGCTGAAGATGCGGCAGCTGCTGCTGCAGTAGATGCTGCGGCGGCTGCTGCTGAAGATGCGGCAGCTGCTGCTGCAGTAGATGCTGCGGCGGCTGCTGCTGAAGATGCGGCAGCTGCTGCTGCAGTAGATGCTGCGGCGGCTGCTGCTGAAGATGCGGCAGCTGCTGCTGCAGTAGATGCTGCGGCGGCTGCTGCTGAAGATGCGGCAGCTGCTACTGCAGTAGATGCTGCGGCGGCTGCTGCTGAAGATGCGGCAGCTGCTGCTGCAGTAGATGCTGCGGCGGCTGCTGGAGAAGATGCGGCAGCTGCTGCTGCAGTAGATGCTGCGGCGGCTGCTGCTGAAGATGCGGCAGCTGCTGCTGCAGTAGATGCTGCGGCGGCTGCTGCTGAAGATGCGGCAGCTGCTGCTGCAGTAGATGCTGCGGCGGCTGCTGCTGAAGATGCGGCAGCTGCTGCTGCAGTAGATGCTGCGGCGGCTGCTGATGAAGATGCGGCAGCTGCTGCTGCAGTAGATGCTGCGGCGGCTGCTGATGAATATGCGGCAGCTGCTGCTGCAGGAGATGCTGCGGCGGCTGCTGCTGAAGATGCGGAAGGAGCCGCTGGAGAAGATGCAGCAGCTGCTGCTGTTGTAGATGCAGCGGCGGCTGCTGCTGAAGATGCGGCAGTTGCCGCTGAAGAGGGTGCAGTAGTTGCTGCTGCTGGAAATGCAGCGGCAGTTGCTGCAGAAGAAGCGGCAGTTGCTGCTGCTGAAAATGCAGCGGCGGCTGCTGCAGACAATGCGGCCGTGGATGCTGCAGGAAATGACGCGGCGGCCGCTGCAGAAGGTGTGGCTGCGGCTGCTGCTGGAGATGTAGCGGCGGCTGCTGCAGATGGCGCGGCGGCTGCTGTTGCTGCAGCTGCAGTGGCGACCAGGCCGCAAACCGGCGGCAACAAGGCCGCGAATCGGCGGCGACGAGGCCGCGGCCGGGCGGCAGCGACGCCGCAAAAGGCGCGACAGAGTCACGACACGGCCGTGGAAAAAAAAAGGGAGGGGGGGAGGCCGTGAGAGAGTCGCGCGGGGCCAACAAAGGGGCCGGGAAAAACGAAGAAAGAAACGGCCGCAACTGGCCGTCGAGGAGAAAGCGCCCGTGGCGCGACTAGGGGAAACGCAAAGCGCGCTCCGGGCAGAAAAAATTTCTTAAACGTGGTGGGCCCTTCCTAGGAACCTTCCTGCTCTATACCATGTCAAGGTGAGAGAGGAATGATGTCGACTAGTTTGGGGCATGGGGTACAAAAGTGACGAGAGAAAAGTTGTACCCCCTAAGAAACACCCCTACAAAACCTAAACCTAAATTATATAGATCATATAATTTGACAAGTAGCCCAAGAACAAGACGGAGGAGGAGAGGACAAAGGCGGAGAACTGGGGAAAACAGCGGGGGAGGAGTCAGGAGGAGGAAACGTGGGACCGTAGACAGGAGGAGAGGCGGAGGAGGGAGGAGAAGGGGAGGGGAGACCAAGGGTCCGAAGACCCGAGACAGGAGGAGGAAGCGGCTGCTGCTGCTGCTGCTGCGACTGCTGCTGCTGCGGAAGCGGCTGCTGCTGGGACTGCTGCTCCTGCGGGTCCAGCTGCTGCTGCTGCTGCTGCTGCTGCTGCTCCTGCGGCTCCAGCTGCTGCTGCTGCTCCTCCAGCCGCTGTAACTCCCTCTCCTCTCTCTCCAACGCCAGCTGCTCGTCACGGGCACGGCGAACACGAGCCTGGTGCCTAGTCGGGTAGGGGTGGGGGGGCGGAGTAGTGTCCGAAGCAGCGGTAGCTCCAGAGTCCACCCCCGAAGAACCAGGCGCACCACCCCCAGAGGCAGCACTAACACCAGCTCCAGACCCAGGCTCGCCAGAACCCGAAGGAGGCGCACTCTCACCCCCAGTGTCCGCCCGACCAGCACCAGCTCCCGGACGACAAGAGTCCTCTGCACCCACCGGGTCAGCTCCAACTCCAGAACCTGAAACTCCAGCTCCAACTCCAGCTCCAACCCCACCACCCCCAGAACCAGAAACCGGTACAGGAACAGGCGCAGCACCAACCTCTCGAGAGCTAGCACCTGCGGCACGCTGCGAGGAGGACTGTGGGGAGGGAGGCTGTACCGGAGAGGCTACTGAAGGAGGAGGGGTAGCCTGGGACACACCCGACGGGGCTGGACCAGGGGGGGGAGGCTGTACCGGGGGAACAGGAGGGGGAGCGGCAATCAGGAAGAGGGGGGGAGGAGGAACCTGGAGACCTCGACTGGGGTACCTGACGTAGTACGGAGTGGACTCCTCGAAACGGACGTCACGGGAGTCAAAGAACCGATGAGAGGGAGGGTGGTAAAAGGTGAAGTCAGAGGAGTCCTCAGGGAAACCAAGGAAGACACAGGGGACGGCACGAGGCGAGAGCTTGTCCGCGGAGGTGTCGCGGACAAGAGCCAAGCACCCCCAGACACGAAACCGCGACGCAACACCAGGGGACCCTGTCCAAAGACTGGTCGGTGAAACCTCTGGTCAAGAGACACGTGGCCAGAGGTTCAGCTGGTGCGCGGCGTACCTGACCGCGTAGGGCCACAGAAAATGGGGGGCACAGGCGTGAGTCAGGGAGGTGCGGGCGATCTCCATGACCAGGCCTATGCGGCGCTCAGCAACCCCATTCTGCTGTGGGGACTCTGGAAGCGTCCAGGACTGACGAATGCCCTGCTCGCGACAGAATCCAGCGAGAATGCCGGAGCGAAACTCACCCCCACGGTCGGAGTGGAGGCAGCTGACACGACGACCACGAGTGTCCTCGGTGGTGAGCAACCACCTGATCAGCGTAGAAGTCACCTCAGACTTCTTCGCCAGAGGGAACACTGTGGTGTAGCGGGAGAAGTCGTCAACGACCACCAGAAAGTAGAGCTCACGCTCAGGGCCTAGACGAGGGGCGGGGCCCCAGACGTCCAAGTGAAGCGTCTCAAAAGGCTCGGTGGCCGGACGAAGGGAGGAGGAGTGAGGGGCGGCGCGCAGCCGACCCTCGACGCAGGGACCACACGGCGGCGCAAGCGAAGGCGGCAGCGACGGCAAGACACGTGGGAGGCCTAGGACAAGACGCTGACTAGACATAGCGCGCAGACGAGGAAGGGACGGGTGCCCCATCCGGTGGTGCCACAGAACGGTGGGGTGGGCAAGCGACCGGCAGGAGCACGACGCAGCGACTGGAGCAGACGTAGGAACCTGACACGACACAGACACCTGGGGGGACGAAGCAACCTGGTGAGACGCGGGGACCCGAACGGGGGGGGGAACCGGGGGCAGTGGCAGTAGGGGCGGCTGCTGGTGCGACCGCTGGTGCAGCTGCTGCTGCTGCTGCTGCGGCTGCTGCTGCTGCGGCGCACGCGGGCCAGTGTGAAGAGTGTAGAGACCTGAGCCCGGCTCAGCAGTAAAGGTAGCAAGAGGCTGGTAAGAGTCTCCGTCAACACACACCGCAGTCTCTCCAGAAGGCTCAAACCACACACCCACGTGCTGACTCACGAGGGGTCGCACGCCCACCAAGTTCCGGGAGAACGAGGGGACGTGAAACCCAGTGAGAGACCCGGAGGGAGCAGCAGGACACGGTAAAGTGGTAGTGTGACGTGCAGTGACTGGTCTCGTAGTGGGATCAGCCAAAGCCACAGAAACAGGCGCAGGAAGTGGTGTAAGTGTCGTGCTGTCCCGGAAGAAGCAGTGTGAGGCTCCAGAGTCCAGCGTGAACGACAGCGAAGCGTCCTCTGAGGTAGTCGCTGGTCTAGAGTCTACACAAGAACCTACACTAGCAACAGGCAACTGAGCAAGACTAGCACCTAAGCTAACAACACCAGAGTAAACAGAGTCAGAAACACTAGAGTCAACAACAGCATACATAGCATGAGGAGCACCAATCAGATCAACTAACTGCTCAGCAGACATGCCCCACAGAGCGGAGCCGTAGCGCTGAACCAGAGGAAGCCAGTCAAGAGCAGGACCGCCAACCCCGTAGGCCAACCGGACCGTGTCAGTGAGCTGAGCAAAGCACTGACCAGGGGGGTGAAAGCGGCCACAAGGGTGGCCCCGACGAGGACCTGTCAGAACCTGATAGGTGCAGGGAGGGTAAGAAGCACCGCGCTGGGGCTGACGCAGCCCCGACCCCGGAGCCAGCTGCTGACGCTGCTGCTGCTGAGGCTGGCAGGAGGAAAGGGGCTGCTGCTGCTGCTGAAGGTGCTGCTGACGCTGAGCCTGGTACCACGCCGCTGCTCCACCTAGCGGGGTCGGCAGTACAGGAGGCGACTGACGAGCTCGGGGGTCGCCGCCACCAGCAGGCGCAGTGGAGTCACCAGCCGCTGCACGAGGGGTCTCTCCAGACGCTGCACTCCCACCACCGCCAGTCGCAACTGCACCCCCACTACCTCCGCTACCTCCACCTCCACCTCCACCAGAACTACCTTTCTTGCCACCCTTGCCGCGGGACCGCGACGCAGTCGTAACAACAGCCGCAGTCGCGTCAGTAGCGGCAGTGGCGAGAGAGGCAGTGAAGGTGGGTAACTGCGGGACTGTGCACCCGTGGAAGAGTGGGGGGGACACAGTACCAGAGGCGGCAGCTACCGAGCGAAGGTTGCTCTCGACGTCCTTGAGTGCAGACTCAAGGACCTCGATAGTCAGCTCACTAGGGTGTTTCAGCAGAAGCGCGTCACGAACGGAGGCTAGGCGGTCAGGGAGGCTAGTGGCGATGAAATAGACAGTAATCGCCATAGGGGGAGGAAGCAGTGCAAGCTGTGCCTCAGTGCAAGCAGCGCGGTAACTAGCGTCGAGCGAGCGGAGGTGAGCGATCAAGTCAGCAGAGCGCTCAAACGAGGCGAGATCAGGAAACAGGAACGGGAGGAAAAGACGGCCAAGAGAGACAGTAGCGGGAGTAGAGTAGCGGGCCTTAATCGCAGTGAGGTACGCAGCAGCGGTGCGAACCTGAGTAAAGTGGACCTCCTCTGACTCAGGGAGGAGGCTGCTGAGTGCGATGCAGGCCGCAGCGTCACGCGACGTCCAAGCCGTCCGGTCAGCGCGCTGACGGGCAAAGCGAGCCGTAGCAGCGTCGTCAGGGGCAGAGCCTAAAGCTGTAGGCTCGGGGGGCTCGGGGAGGTCACCAGTAGCGTGCGACCAGAGGGTCTCGCCCCCCTGGACCTGACTCTCTAACAGACGGCGAGCGCGAAGAAGCCAGACGGAAAAGTCAAGTGGTCTACCGTCAGCGTCGAAACGAAGAACTCGCGGAGTCGCCATAGTGAGAACTAACGCGAACGAACAGGCGAGTAACAACCGGGGAGAAGAGGCAAATTAGGGTTCAGGTGGGAAGGGGACTCAGTCGCAGCGGAAGAGCGGGCTAGGGCGACGGGCCAGGGCGTAGGGTAGGGCGACGGGCTAGGGCGTAGGGTAGGGCGACGGGCCAGGGCGTAGGGTAGGGCGACGGGCCAGGGCGTAGGGTAGGGCGACGGGCCAGGGCGTAGGGTAGGGCGACGGGCCAGGGCGTAGGGTAGGGCGACGGGCCAGGGCGTAGGGTAGGGCGACGGGCCAGGGCGTAGGGTAGGGCGACGGGCCAGGGGGACGGGACAGGGCGACGCGACGGGGCAGGGCGGCGCGATGGGGCAGGGTGACGGGACGGGGCAGGGCGACGCGACGGGGCAGGGCGACGCGACGGGGCAGGGTGACGGGACGGGGCAGAGCGACGCGACGGGGCAGGGCGACGGGACGGGGCAGGGCGACGCGACGGGACAGGGCGACGGGACGGGGGGGAAAGGGCGGGCACGACGTGACGGGGGGAACGGGCGCGACGCGACGGGGGGAAAGAGCGCTAGGCGACGGGGGGAAAGGGCGCGACGCGACGGGGGGGGGGGGGAAGGGCGCTAGGCGACGGGGAGAAAGGGCGCTAAGCGACGGGGGAGAGGGCGCTAGGCTCGGTACTAGGCGCGGTAACAACGGAACCGGTACGAACGAGAGGTATGATCAGGCTCGGGAGGGACGAACGGAGAACGGAGGAACGGGATCCCACAGGATCCTAACCTAGCTGATACCATGTCAGAATGAGGAATCATGATGCCATTGATGTTGGTTGGGGTACATATAACAAACCCTAACTTCTGTACCCCCTAAGACAAACCTCACTACAGGCTACAACATTTGACACAGATGTACACTTGGCGGGTCATAGGGTGCGATGATGAGAACTGTGATTGGTGTCGAGAGAGTTAGGTGAAAAGGTGATTGATTAGGTCTAGGATGGGGTGGGGTACAAACAAGAGTGTCAAGATGAGAACTGTACCCCCTGAGACTAGCCCCTATATAGGGTAGACAATTTAATACACATATAATTTAACACACCCCCATAGGCGAAGTGGGGGATAGCTAGAGCAAACAATGGTCACAAGACCAGTCAAGAGAAGAACAAAGCAAAAGCAAGCTCAGGGTGGATCACGAAGTCACCACACACTCTGAGCACAGGCAAATGGCTACAAGGCCGGTCCACATGCAGAGTTATATAAAAGACAGCAAACAGTACAGTGATCACTATCTAGCAAGAATAAGCATGCATGTATATATATAGGTCACAGTACAAGCAAAGTCAAACAGAGAGCAAGTGAGGCAAAACAGGCACAAGGTCCAACAAACTACAGAAGCGCTGATGATCACAAGGCTGAACTACCTTCGTGAATATATCAGCAGTGTTGGCCCGAGTGGCCACGTAAGCAAGACGAAGCTGACCACGCTTCTGCAACTCTCGAGCAAGGACGTAACGCAGAGCAATGTGCTTTGTTCTGTGCTCCAGTCTGTGCTCCTAACACAAGGCAATTGCAGTCTTGTTGTCTACGTACAAAATTAAAAGAGGAGGAGGCCACTCTCCCAAGTGAGTCAGCAGGTAAGTGAGCCAGCGTAACTCCTATGCAGCCATGGCTATCGCGTAGATCTCAGCCTCACAACTGGAGCTAGGAACAGAAGATGACCGGGTAGACCGCCAAGAAACAGAGGCGGAGCCAAGGCTGAACGTGTAACCCTGAGACGACCGCTACGTAGTCAGGTCATCAACCCACGAAGCGCCTGAGTGTCTCGTGAGGACAACTAGACCCCGCCCTCCAAGCACGAGCCCCATGCCCGATGCAACACAAGTAACGCAGTACCCTCTTCGCAGCATCCCTGTGCACCTTTCGGTGCCTACCAGGAGCCACGTAGCGTGCTAGAAAGCCACGAGGGTACGCAAGGTCAGACGAATGCAAGTCATCAGGTACATGAGGCAGCCCACTAGCTTTGGGTACGGGCCACTCGGCTCTACGAACTCGTCCGAAGGTGGAGCTGAGAGCAAGTGACTGATAGCCAGAGGAGTCGACTGTGGCGAGGACCAAGTGAAGCCGAAGCGCTGAAGGACCTGCTGCATCATGTGTGACTCGACTGTGGCGAGGACCAAGTGAAGCCGAAGCGCTGAAGGACCTGCTGCATCATGTGTGACTGAGTCAGGGTGTTGGTGCGGCGTGCTCTATCCCGAGTGATCTGCAAGCCAAGATACCTGCGCAGTTCACCCAGGTCTGTGCACGTGTATCTCTTCTACAGCCCCGACTTCACAAGAGCGAGTGCCTCAGTGTCAGCGGTGGCAAAAACCAAGTCGTCGACGTACACGAGGATGTAGAATGGCGGCACCGAAGTGTCGGTGCGGAGAATTAGCGACGGATCTGCAGTCAAAGGCGCAAACCCAAGTGCCGCAAACGTCGTCCTCAGTGTCTCGTGCCACTCACGAGGCGTCTGGCGGAGACCGTAGACAGGCCATCGGAGGCTCCACTGGGTACCTGCAGGAAACGACCCAGTGAAGTCAGGTGGACGGCGCAGCCAGATCTCCTCGTGCAGACTGCCATGTAGGAAAGCTGTGTTGAAGTCAAGAGAGTGAAGCTCTTAGTCACGCTGAGCGGCAACGTGCAGCAGCACCCGAAGAGTGGTCATCTTCGGGGTAGGGGAGAAGGTCTGTAAGAATTCAATGTGAGAATAGTACGAGGCAATGAAATGGACTAGGAAACAAGTGGGAACAAGTAGTGAACCTAGAAGTGTTGTATCCCGTATTATCTACCCCACTATAGCCTACA